CTAATTAGGATAGAAGTGTAAAATCACTCATAGAACAAGGAGTTTTGCTTATATAAATAAAAGTCCTTGAGGCTATGCTGAATGGAGCAGCTGAACAGAGAAGGTGAGACTGTCTAACTATTTTTGTCTGTATCCTTGCCATATATCCTTTTCTGTGCAAGCTGGAAATAAAGCTTTAAACCTTTCTCACAGATGTGGTGATTCCTCTTATCCTAAAAGAACCTTTTGGCTTTGACAAAGCAGCATGGAAGTTCAAAACCGTTGGTGTCTGTTGCATGATAAATTGAGCAACTGTGGAGCTATGCTGGTTCAGTATTTATGCTGTACCAAAGCTGTCTCATTCTATTTTGGTGCCTTGTTTTGTTTTTATTTTTTCATTATTCTAAAAGGACTTTAAAAAAGACATATATTCCCGGACCTTTGAAATGACCTCTTTGTGGCTTAGTAGGAACTAGAAGCTGGATTTCTCAAATATCAGTCCAAAATTCTGGCTGTTAAAAATATGCTGGTTCTCTTTTAGCTCCTTCGGTAAAGAAGTAAATATATAATTAAGAAGTCAAGATTGTTTAGTTTTTAGGGTGTTGGACAAGGTCTATGGGAATCAAAGCTTATTTCTGTATCCAGCTATGGAGATCATTGGGTTAACAGGCATTCTCTCTCAATTCCTAAAGAGTTATTGGGGAAAGAGAGGAGCCATATGTACTTACCGTGTGTTCCTAAAGATACAATAATCATAAATGAAACAATAAAGATATACGCCAAAGTGGTTTGGCAAACTGAGATAAACAGCATATCAATAAGAAAATGTGGAAAGGGCATGTCCTTAAGGTGTGTCCACAACAATGCATCAGGTGCAATACACTTACATATCTCTGTATAAAGCTACATCTCATCACCTGACCTCGACATTGCAGATCACACCCTTAATCACATATATCAAAACTATAAAGTTTGGCTATAAAGTCAACACTCCATATCTATGAGTTCTACATTCATGGGTTCAACCAACCATGGCTTGAAAATATTTGAAAAAATCTACAACAGCAAGTCTTGCTGTTTTCCATTAAGGGATACCATTTTACTATGACATTGTATATAGTGGGACTTCGAGACCAATGAATTAAAGAATATAAAGAAGTGTCTGCTTTTCCTTGAGAAGTCTAAACATGATTTTTGTAGAACACATTAACCAGGGCCACATTTGATCAGAGCAAAAGTCTATCTCCTCCAACACTCTATTCAATCTGTGGTCAACTAGTCACCCAAAGGCAGCCCAACAACAGAAAATTAGCCTAGCTTTACTCTTGTGCTGCCCAACAACTGCCACACAAATGCCTCCAATAAAAGTGACATACTATCTTGAGTAATAGTTATTCATAGCCGCATCCTCCATTAATTTGCCCCACACCGCTTTAAACTGTATAGGTTGGCAGCCACTAGTATATCTTGTGAAAGTGGATTATACTTTTGAACTGCCCCAAATCTACCAGTTGCTGATTAATTCACAGAGAAGGAGAAAATTTCTGCATACAATGCATAATTTTATACCTCTCTGTATCCTCTTCCTTTAGCTGGAGTTTTCCAAAGCAAACAGCCCTAATCATTATAACCTTTCCTTGTTGAATTGTTTTACCAGTTCCTTAATCATTTGAATTGCCCCTTGAAATAGATGATAACCACCATCCCAAATTATGAAACAAATTCCCTCACTCTTTCCTGTGTTTAGGAATACAGTCCATTTTGTCAACATTTCATTGTATTTACCAGACATGTTTTGTGAATCTGAATAAATGGTTAGGCTATTCTAAATTTCTCAAGGGAAATATGACTTTTTTTTTACATCCCTGCCACTAGTTAAATTAAGCCAGAAAAAAATTAATTCAGTTGCCCATAAAATAATGATACTGGACTTTTTAAAAGTCATATTTTTTGCAACATAAGTATGGGAATGTCAAACCTGTATCATAATCTTTATTAAATTAGTGGATGTGTAACATTCTCAGCTTATTAAAAAATCCTTATTTCCAAAAATATTTTTCAATATATCAGATCAACTTCTAGCAGCATTTCAATTAATTTTAATCTTCTTCACTCTCAGATTATTACATACTTTGTTCAGTCATTAGTGCTTTTTTGACCAATATGGATTACTATGATATTGCTCTAAGAAACCTCTTTCATTAAACAAGCATCTCCAATAGCTTCTCTTTATTTTGACAGAAATTTATCAAAGGTCATACTATGACTATGGACCACAGGTTTATGACTATGGATCACAGGTTTGAATATTTATCTTGCAGCTAGACTGGATATGCTGGCTAAGGGATATGAGGGATAATATTATTACTATTTCGCGCCCGCCTCTCCTCATGACTTAAGGCAGGGATCCCTTTCCCACAAAGGTAACTTTCCCAGCTTTGTTTTGTTTCTGAGGTTGTTTTTTTAAGTTGTTATTGTATGATAACTTTTTATTTTCACTTTTTATGATCAAAAATAAAAAGGTAATTTCATGAATAAAACAAATGTTTTGGAAAATTGACCATTGAAAATAATGGCAAAAAGAGAAAGTACATATGCTCCTTTGGACTCCTTTTCCAGTTCCATATTAGGTTAGGCTTTAGTAGGCATGAAGTCTCATTAATCCGGAAAGAGCTCTCACACCACATATTATTAGGGCCCTGCATGCAATTGTGCTACCCCTAGGATTTGTTCAACTATATTGAGAAGACAAAACATGCACTTCTCAGTTACTGTGCTTGCCGAAGTTCTGAATCATTAGACTCCATAATATTCTGTATTGTACCTGCAAAGGTTATTGCTGTAAAAAAAAACAACCCTTTGAATCTCCACTTATAACTCTGAAGACCTATCAGGAACCTATTTGGTTCAATTTTTTTTCTTGTTCCTACAATGGCATATAAACATATGGCTTAATTTGTATTGTAAAACCAGGTTAAATGTGGCTCACCCGCTGAACCTTAATGCAGTGTAGGCAAGACCAAAGATTCAGAAGGCCTACTCTGCTCCTAGATTGCCGTTTCAGGACAAGGGAGCATATGGTCTTTCAGATACTGCTGAAAGTTCATATGCCCAAACTCCCCTGGTTAATAATAAGGTATGGTAGTTCAGAAATATCTGAAAGGATGAGGATTCACCACAATTCTGGTACTGAGTGTATTACACAACTATACCATGTTTTATAATGAATATTTATGGCAATTTGAACAGTTATGAGCTTCCTACAAAATAAAATTTGAGAAGCTGTAATATTGAGTTATCTTCTCTGAAATCTATATTTCACCATAATGCAGTGTTGTGGTATTCGGAGTACAGTATTCTGTAAAATACTATTGTTGGCAAAAGAGAGCATTTGCTAGAATGTAACCATATGAAAAGAACTGTTATAGTGGTTCCCAAACTTTGGTCCTACAGTTTATTTATTTATATATTTACTAGATTTCTATCCTGTTCTATCTCACCCCAAGGGGGACTCAGAGCGGCTTACAATTTGGCAAAATTCAGTGGCACATTATACACACAAAAAGCAATACATCACATAGTTAACTAAAATCAATAGACATAAATATGAATTACAACCATTAAAACATTATACAGATAAACATCATAAAACACAATGAACATTGCATCAATGCCATAGTTATCATTTAGCTGCTTCATTTATGTCTATATTGTGATAAGGTGTTATACTGTAATTCTGCTGCTCACCAAATGCCTGCTTACACAGCCAGGTTTTAACTTTTTCCCTGAACACCAGGAGGGGGGGGCAATCTGATCTCACTGGGGAGGGAGTGCCACAGCTGATGGACCACCACCAAGAAGGCCCTGTCCCCCCTCACCCTTACCAATCACACCTGCGAAGGCATTGGGACTGAGAGCAGGACCTCCTCGGCAGATCTTAATGCTAGAACTGGTTCATAAAGGGAGGTACGTTTGGACAGGGCAAGAACCATTTAGGCTTTTAAAGGCTAAAGCCAGCACTTTGAATTGTGCTCATTGTTCCTGGCTGTTGGGAAGCATTCTATCCTACGTTTATTCTGCTTAGCAAGTAATGTAGAATCCCCAACTGCTTTTTTTCAATGTATTGCATTACATTCTTAATGCAGATAAGGTAGGCTTACTCCTTATTTGAAGGTGAGGTGGAAATGTAGCTATTAGCCATCATAAGTGCAGAATAGCTGCCATTAAGTCAGGGCAACACTGCAAAATATATAAAATAACAAAAATTTAGTATTAGTATTTTTACTATTAGTATTAGTATTAGTATTTTTACAGTATAATTACAGTAATCTGAGGAAAATGTTGTAGTATCAGATTTCCAATGCTTACACAATTATTTCTGTTGAAACAGCGTCCTTATTTTAAGCAAGTGGATGAAATTAAGTAGGTAAAGTAGCACAAATTAGTCTTCACCAACCTGGAGCCCACTAAAAGTCTTAGATGACTCCAAATCCTGCCCAATAAAGGTGTTGCAGTGATATGGTATTAGTATTTTTGATATGAAGGAGAGACTCACTACAGAAAACACACCTGAGCACCACACATTTGGCATCTCTTCTCTGATTATGGTTTCAGAAAAATCTAAACCACGCACGGTTTCAATAATTCATTGCTAACACTTCCTGACTTTCCTCAAATTTTCTTGCCTCATATGCACTGATTACCCTTAGTCTACTTGCTTAACATTTATTAATTTTCACCCTTTCCTTATCAGTGAAAAATGTATATTTCTAGGACCTGAGGATTTAATGTTGAAAAGTGCAAAACCCCTTTCATTTGTCTGAACGTCTGGTTACCCATTTCACTCTAATCCCATAAGGACCCAAAAAGTATGGGATGTATACTCTTACTATGATATTTTTTTGCTATGAAACCTGGTGAATAATGACCAGATGCTGTTCTCAAAGGGTAAAGATTCTAGCTCTCAGACTTCATGAAAAAGCAAAACTGAGCCACTCCTATGATTTTAAACTCAAACTCACCTTCATCATAAAAACCACACTGAATTTGTAGAATCCTAGGGAGAGATCTTGGATCTAAGGAATGGATGAAATTATTCAGGCTTGAGATCATGATCTGTGGAGCAGTAGGGAAGAGCTGTTGTTTAAAATAAGGACACCTGAGCTATCTTCTTGCACTCAATACACAAAGTCAAGCCTGTGAAATCCGGAACAGGCTTTTTGCTCTTGTAGTTTGTTCACTGTGGAGACCACTTCCTCTGATCTAACTTTGGGTTGATGTAAAGCAGGAATAGGAAGCTAAGAAAAGTGCACTTTGCACCTGGGTACGTGTTACCTAGCATTTGTGGCAATTTGGACTACATGAAATATAGTCTCCACGAGTTTACGTCAGTACAAGCTGAAGGGATGGCGAGGGATTGTGCATCTTATCTAAGGTGCAATTTTTTTTTACAACACACTCAAAACCATCTTGTCTTAAATCTCTGATCACTTCACACTGAAATGCAACATAAACAAATCAAATTCCCTCTTCTTTTAAAAGAAACCACAGCCTGTCTTTGAACAAAACAATGAAACTGGCTTGGGTCTTCATCCTGTTCTGGAGGCGAAAATAATTTAGGGAAGGAATGGAAGCCAGTTTTAAGGGAAAGTATTGTCAGCAAGCTATTCTGATTGGTCATAAAATGCAGAGATTAGACCTTTGAGACTTCACATTAACATGAGGAAGATAGTAGAACAATTGCATCTCAAATGAAATCTAGAGGTGATTCTGAATAATCTCTCATCCACTTTCCAAAAAAGACATCACACAAGGAGATAATTCGGGGATGAAAGGTCCAGCCCAGTTTGCTGTGATACTGTCATGTGCTTGAAGTCATTTTAAGGGGAGCGTTCAACAACATCATTCCATACCTGCGGAATCAAATAGATTTGGGCAAGTGTGTGGCATTGCCTTCCCCTGTGGCTCATCATTTGTGACTTGCTCACCTAATGGATTTCCAAGACTGAGCAAGGATTTGAACCCTGGTCTCCCAAAGTTCTAGCTGAACACCCAAGCCACTGTACTATGCTGGCCAGAAATGCATATAGTTCCCAAATAAACAAGGACCTATTCATCATATTCAAATGAAAGTATTATTTCAACTTGTAAACATGATTTATGTCCTTTTACAAAGATGCTGTACTTTATAAGTAATATATTACTTTTAAATCATACTTCCGTTTCTGTTATCTGCTCCCTTCCCAGCTCATGTTTACAAGTGCATACAATGTAGGTCCTTTCAAAAGGGCTTCTTGGGTTGATGAATTATGCACATATCTAAAAGTAGAATCCCAGAACTGTGCTGGGGCTTACACATATTCATATCTAAAACAATATTAAGTTGTTGGTTGTTTTTCCCAGAACATCACAATGATCAACTAGTCCAACCTTGTGCAATTTTCAAAACAAGTTTAAAGCTGAACTTTACCTTGTAACTATGTATGGGAGCTGATCAGAGATTGTCCTTCTGTTGTCGTAGTTTTGCTTCCCTGCCTGGAACAGAACTTTAAATGCCAACTTCTGTTGCATGTGAATTGAGCTTATCTCCCCATACATTGCACCAACCAGCTATTATGGAATCTATTGTAAATCTGAAAATCCAGCCATGACTGTAGACTCATCAGAGTAATCTAATACTAATTTGAGAAAGTCAAAACATTGGGAGTAAATATCACGCACAGTGTAGAACCACTGAAATGAGTGGAATTTAGTTAGTGGTGTCTAATGAATTTCTGTTGATCCATTATAAGCATCAGTGGGTCTGTTATAGGTCTGGGTCCAAATCTGTGTATCCATTGAGTAGTACAATTTTTAATTGATCTCTTCTAATACATGTAGAAATCATCTATTCAGTTTAGACAGCAAATTTATAGTTGGAGTTGAGGGATTTATCTTAATATAGTCTAAAATCATACAGATTTTGACACTAAAAGAAAATGCCTTTTGATTCTTCCTTTTATTTTATAATTTTACTTTTCATTGGAATCTATAAGTTTCTTATATTCTTCATCATAGTATATTTTAAATTAATAGGGGTTTTATTGCTGTTTTAAGCATAATTGGGTCCATTTTATTGTTACTGATTTATACTTTTCTGTATTTTGTTGTACTTGTACTGTATATTGTTGCACTGTTGAGTGCTTTATGCGAGCTGCCCGAGTCTCTTCAGGGAGATGGTGGTAGGATACAAATAAAGTTTATTATTATTACTACCTGCGAATATGAAGTGTTATGCTGAATTTCTAAACTAAAATGTTAATGATTTGGAGGATCACTCCTCACTTTGAACTATGCTGGATGTTTCCCAGGAACTATTTTTTATTGGATTGTTCAGAATAATTTAATTAATTAGTGAAAATTCTTTATTGTAATATAGATACTATCTCTCATCAAAGACAGTATAAAGTATGTAGGGGGAAAGGATATATGTTTTGAAAACGCTGCTGGTCTTTAAAAGGTTTATTTTGAAAGGAAAATTACTCAGGGTCTTCAGATTACACAAAAGTGTTTTGAAATATGTTTGGCATATCCTCAGTGTATTAGTGACAGCTGGAGACATACACAGGAGACTTCTTTTGAATTAATTTTACAGATCAGTCCTCCTGCGGTGTCTGGTGTTTCACACTGTAATTTATTTTTTAAAGAGGCCACAGTGGTTCTTGGGTGTCATGAAAGAAATCCCCCAAAGTGTGCATATGCAGTCCCTACTAATAAGAAAGGACAATGAATTCATTTAAATATATTTGTGCAAGACTGATCTTCCCCAAGGAATTTGCACAATCACTTTCTCTAATTGTTCTAGAAGTTTGCCCTGTCAACTTGACAGGCTGCTGCACATAGGGAAGGAAAACAGCTTGACATTTTCTGACAGGAGAGTGTGGCTACAATACTGTACAAGTTAGAAACATCATCTGCTATTTCCCCATGCCTTTCCCAATACTTAACAGCCAGTTCTGATTCACTGGATGTAATTTAGGAGAACTGTCTGCCTGGATTACCTTTGACACATGGTGAAGCTCAAATCCAGAGTTTGCCAGCACTGGTAGTGTACAGAACTGGGTTGGAAACCTTTGCAAGGGGAGGACAGTCCTTGAGAACACTGTCTCCTACATTATAATTATTGGGGAAAGCTGCCTTCATAGAAACATTTTGATTTGGCAAGCTGAGCTACGGAATTGGTCTCTTGATAACAAATCAGAACTACAATATATACTTGCATATATGTTCATCTCATATATAAGTTGAGGGTAGGTTTGGGGAAAAACATTTTACATGATAAATGGATAAATCAAGGATCATCCTTCAGAGAGAGAAAAGTGCTGGTGTTGCTTCACTGAGCCAGTGGTGAATGGGCAATGACATGGTCGTCTTCCCACCCAAGTATTCAAAAAGGCCAGAAGTGTCACTGCAGCAGAGAGTGTAAAGGGGGTCAGTACTTCATTTAGGTTATCCTAGGACAAACTAAGTGCTTGCCTTTCCCTGCTATAGATTCCTTTCCTGATAAGAAGATACAGTACTCCTTGCATTGACATATGGATAAGTTGACCCAGGTTTTTTGGGCATATTTTTGACTAAAATTTCTAGACCTACACATGAATATATACAGTATATAGAAAAAGATACACCAGGAATTTGGACGTGGGGAGGAAATACACTGATGTTAACATATCTTTCACTAATCCATTCAGAAAAACACTGGTGGCTGGATAACACATCCATTGCTAGAAATGTAGATGGCTTGAAGATAAATCAGCAAGTGCTTTTGACTCCTGCTTGTTTAACACTAGTGGAAAGGGCCTTATTTCGCCCCTTAATTAAACTGCTGATATAAAATAAATGCGAGGATGAGCATAGATTTGTGTGCAAAAGCATTTGTGAAAATATGGAAGTGACAACAGGGCTTCCAGTGAAAAACAAGGTAGATTGCACATGTTTCCTTCTTTTGTAGATGTTTATAGCTTGTTCACAAACTCATGCTTATTGGGGAGCATTTAAAGACATCATTTGTACCTAGAGGTTGATCTGCTTGTCTGTGCAACATGAGGAGATGGCTGCCAAAGTTAGATATTCACTATGAAGGCATTTGGTTTTAAAACGTTTTAGAGGAGTATCAAACTGCATTGGTTCAGGAACCTGCATGGACATGCCCAGGCATCCAGACACCCTCAATATGAAAAATAAATAACCAGAAATCCTCCCCAGATAGTCCAAAGGGGCTATAAAATATAATAGTTTTGTTCCATGACCTTCACTTTTGTATGCATAACTTGATCCCACTTGCCCCCAGAAACCAAACAGTTGCACCAAAAGTGAGCCAAAATACATAGATACAGGAAATGAGTAACATTGCTTATGGTTTTGAAAAAAACAATTTCAGGGGTTATTTTTTGAATTGTGAGACTTTTCAAAGTATGTGGGAGGAGAGCTGGGAGAGTTTAGGATAAAATTGTATTTTGCAAGCTGTTGACCCATTCAGGTAGTTTGCAGGGAAGGTGTGAAGATTGACCATTTACAAAAAATATAGGTGTCAGGGGACTTTGTGGACCACAATAGCTACATGCAACCCATGGCTAATCTAAACCTTCTCTACATGCTCAGTTTTCCTGTGTTGCAGGGAAGGTATGCAATGAAGACATATGTTTGGTGAATGTAGTTAAAAGACTCTATGTGACTGTAAACTTGGAAAGAGAGTTCAGAAGCTGAAAGGGACTTGGAGGGACTGAAGTATTCACCCTCTGTGTCATCTAGACATCTAACCAGTTTTTAAAAGAATGCTTGAATACATCTATTAACAATAGACTTATCTCACGAGAGTTCATACATTTTCCAGGTAGGAAGTTTAACTGAAAGCTTGTGAAAGAGATATACGGAGCAATCGAGTATGATCAAAATGGCTAGTGAGCTGGAAAAGTATGTGGAAGCATTCTGGACAGTGATAAGGAGATAAAGAGCCTAACCACTGAAATTTATAGCAATCAAGATAGGAAATTAGGCATTTACCAAGGACATTGCAGAGAAAGAATGCCATTTAGAAGTATTACCAAGAAGACACATTCACAACAATAATCAGTATGAGATAAAGGACCCAAGAAATCAAAGATGTTATACAGAATGTGTTTGGATAACATGGTAGGCAATGATACTTCAGAGAGAAAGAGATTGAGATGAGGCATTATGTATTTTATTTGTTA